GTTTCCGCGCTGGAGAAGCGATCCAGGAAATGGAGGGGGCGGGGCCCGGCAGGGGGCGGGGCCCGGCAGGGGGCGGGGCCCGGCAGGGGGCGGGGCCCGGCAGGGGGCGGGGCCCGGCAGGGGGCGGGGCCAGGGCGGTGTTTTGGGGGAGGGGAAAAGGGAAAAGGGCGGGGCCGGAACTTCCTGCCGGAAGTGAGGTGGGGCCGGGGGGGTCCCCGGCGACCCACGGGACCCCCGGGGTGTGACCCAAACACGGGCTGTGACCCACGGAACCGACCACGGAACCGAACCCCGGGCTGTGAAACACAGAACCGACCACGGAACCGAACCCCGGGCTGTGAAACACAGAACCGACCACGGAACCGAACCCCGGGCTGTGAAACACGGAACCGAACCCCGGGCTGTGAAACACGGAACCGACCATGGAACCGAACCCCGGGGTGTGACCCAAACACGGGGTGTGAAACAGGGAACCGACCCACGGGGTGTGACCCACGGAATGGACCCACGGAACCGACCCCCGGGGTGTGAAACACGGGCTGTGACCCACGGAACCGACCACGGACCCGAAGCCCGGGGTGTGAAACACGGACCCGAACCCCGGGGTGTGAAACACGGGGTGCGACCCACGGAAGCCCCCCCGGGGAATCCCCCCAGGTGACACGCAGACCCCCCCCGCCCCCCCACGGGCTGTGGCCCCCAGACCCATCTCAACGCGCCCCCCCGACTCCAGTACCAGAAATGGCCGCGACTTCGGGACCCCTGAGACCACGGGGAAACCCCCAGACCCAAACCGTGACACCCCCGGAGCCCTGAAATGCCCAAACCCAAATGGTGACACTGAGACCCCAGACTCAAATCCCAACACCCGCACACCGACCCTCCATTCCCCAAGCCCCCCCTGAGCCCTCCCCTGAGGTGCCGGGGGATTTGGGGCGGGCCGCCCCCATTTCCCTCCCCTCGGGGCACTGGGGCGAATCTCCTGCAGGGCCTGGGCGGACACAGCTGATGGCGGCTGCTCCCCAAGTCCGGGGGGCTCCCCCAAAACAGGGGGTCCCGAGCCCCCTCCTCATCTTCTGCCTCCTCCTCCTTCTCCCAGGTATCGCTGGGGGGGGGGCGGTGGGGCTGGGTACTGGTGGGTCTGGGGGTTTCCGGGGTTCAGTTTGGGTCTGGGGGGGTTTTCGGGGTTCTGGGGTGTTGGGGTTGGGTCTGGGGGGGTTTCAAGGGTTGAGTTTGGGTCTGGGGGTGGGGGTTAAGGGGTTCTAGGGTGCCGGGGTTCGGGTCCGGGGGGGTCTCAGGGAGACCTTGAACGACGATGGCATTTCCGGGCCCTCGGGTTTTGGTGTTTCAGGATTTCTGGGGTCTCTGGGTTTGGGGGTATTGGGGGTCCCACCTGTGCCCACCCCTCACGGATCCCCAGTGCCTGTTAGCCACGCCCATGGGGACCCCTGAACCCGGCAGGGGGGCTCTAGGGGACCCCAAAACCATCGGGTGCTTCCCCCCAAGCCACCTGTGCCAGCGTGTCCCCTGGGACCCCCCCGCCCTCGCCGCGGAGCTTCCTGTCACCAGCGAGAACTGAAACTGGGGGGGCGGCGCCGGGGGGACCCCCCCGTGCCACCTGCAGGGTCCCTGTGTGAGACCCCCACCCATTGGGGATGCAGTGATCCCCTGTGTGAGACCCCCACCCA